CTAGCATCCATACCTGAAACAACTCGGACAATACCACCAGGTCAATTGCTTGCTGCTTAAACTTGCCGGCTGGGGGCTTGGTGAAAACTAGGGTCCCGCATAGTGACCCATTCTTACTAGCGGTTGCCTGATACGAGGTACCAGAAAGGGCACACTAATGGCTAAGCCCTTCTGGCAGTGCCTTCTACACCCTACGAAGCCACGAACCCTATAGGCCCTAAACCCTGAACCCGAAAGCCAGAGCCGCCAGGACTTGAATCGCCAAACGTCGCCGAGAAAGTCGGAGGAGAGTGGCTTAAACACATCCCCGTTCAGGGTCACCTGGGTTCAGGCGTCCGTGCTGGAACCATTGGTGCGGTTCCGCTCTCAGGGATGTCAATGTGGTTTTTGGTTCTTCTGGTGGGAGTGCTAGGAATTGGGAACTTCCTGGCGACATCTCCGGCCTCCTGTGTACACCATCCTGCCGAATCCCCCCCAAGAGCTGTGTTGTTGCCCAAGGCCACATGTGCTTCGCACGGCTGGAAGCCTACGAGGATGCAAGTCCGAAACTATGATCCTTAACCCGTCACAAAGCACGCGGAGAGCTCTGAAGCTTCCTCAACTTCTGGCGAAACAATCAAACTTTACACTTCAGCCCTCAAACCGAAAAAAAAAAAAAAAAAAAAAAAACTGTCTCGCCAAGTGTCGAAGAAAACCTAGCACAAGCATTGAACCTTTGAAGCCCCAGCCCCGAAGCCATAAACTACACCACAGGGCCTTCAGCGCCTTGGCTGACATCTCCACCTGCGAGGGAAGATCCCAAGAGTCCCAAGACGCAGAAAGCCAGCCAAGCCCCTGGCACCTCTTAAGGCTGAAGGCGTATGCTTGTGGGGTGGCTTGGGCCCCTACTAGGAGGTTCGTGGGTCGTGGCAGCCTCTCTTGGAACAAGGTACTTCGCAATCCTGAAAAGATTTCTTCGTCTCCCCTGCATTACGGAATGCCATGAGTGATTTCATCTGGAAGTGATGCACGAAGAGAAGCACAAAGCGAGTAAGTTGGGTAGTGTTATGTGCTTTACTGCTAAGCATGGTTTGTTTTCGGGGTTCTAGGGTACATGCCTTTTGGGGTGGTTCTCCGCAGCTTCCGGGATGTATTTCAGTCCGTGATTGTCCGGCACCGTGCTTCAGTCGATGTCATAAGTGGAATGTGACTCGCCAAGAGCTTGGGCTTCGGTCAGTTAAGTGGAATTTCAGTCTGAGTTGCTGCCTAGGCATTTCCCGACAATTGCGTGCCCTTCAAGGCACAATGAAAGCCACAAGCGTTGGGAAAGAATAAAAGTGCAAATGTCCATTCCTTATTGGGTTTAAGGACCCTTAGAAATGTAAAAAACTACAAAACTAAGACAAAGGTTAAGTGGGTTCTGGTGTCAGGGTATGAAAGCTGCAGCTGAAAACTGGGAGTCCTTGCTACTTCGTTTACAGGATCAGTAACCAAATCCTTTGGTCCTGATCTACCCCACCCGGTTAAGAGGGCTCGCTAATCTCTCTCAATGTGCAGCAAAATCGTGTAGATGTGCAAAGGCTGCTGCTTTCAGCCGGCGCCCATGCGATAAGCAACTCTTGCAAAGCGCCGACCCCTGCCGGGGTTCGGCGTCAGTGTAATTGCTCCCAACAAGGGCCGTGCACGTCCAAACCCCACAGCGGCCCTAGGGCCCCCTCACCGGTCTTACGAGCGCGCACCCCAAATGCTCGCCAGGCCCTTGAGTGTAATTTAGCCACACACACACCCCCCGCACCACTGTTGGGAAATACTGTTAGGCAGCTGCCCGTAAACCTTCAAGCGGGCTTCGTTCCTGGGGCCTACCATGTCTACTGCTAAACCCTAAACTCCCAAACTCCTGTAGACCCAAAAAAAGCCCTAAACCCTAAACCCTCAACCCTCTTGTCGGGGCCCCCGCCTTCACGTCCTCGCTGGACCATTCCCGGCGATCTTCGAGGATGCCCTCAAGGCGGTGCGTCCTTAGGCACGTCGCGCTCAGGATTCAGGGCTTAGCTTCAGGAATGTTGGGAGTGGCGGGGGGTTGTGGTGTTAAGTTCTTGGATTTAGGGAAGGTTCCGGATCATTTCAACAAGCCTCGAAACAAGGTCCAGTGCCCGCGCGCGCGCGCACGCATGCGGGCCTCCACTAAACACGATGTTGTTTGTGCTTCTTTGTGGTGTTGTGATTGATCCTCTCACTGTTTCTAGATGTTGTTCGCGACCCTGAACCCTGAACCCTGAACCTGAACGCGAAACCCTGACGATCCAGACTCCAAACCCCATCTCTCCGGCAAGCTGCAGCGTCACCTGGCCCATGCTCTGTGACCACTGAACCTAGGAGTGGGTTTAGGGCTTATAGTTTAGGGTTTAGGGTTGAGGATTCAGGGTTTTGGGTTTAGGGTTTGGGGGGCGCCCGCCGTTGAGCACTTGAAAGCTGAACCGCAGGGGGAGGGGCTTAGGGCCTCTAGAGGCTCGGCAAATAAGGGCTGGCAGGGGGTTCAGGGGCTGGTGTTGCGAAAATCAGATGCCCTCAGATTCCCGCGGATGCTCTCGGATGCCCTCAGATGCCCTCAGTTCGCGGCACTCTCCTCGCCATTTGCACCGCCGGCATTGTAGTTGGACTCGAACCTTGCTTTCCAGAAAATTTCAGTGCCAAGAGAACCGGGCGGTTGCTTCAACAGCTGGGCCCCCTTGACCTACTCCGAACAGAGAGGGGAACCTGGGGCCCTGAAACCGTAGCTGCCTCAAGTTCGCACACGCAGGCCTTTCTAGGGTCTAGGGTCTCGGAGCCTAAGAGGTGATCCCAGGAACGCGACTTGAGAGGGCCGACAAAACTTGGCACAGAGTCAAGTCTAATTGCCCAAGGAACTGGCATCCGACGATGAGCCAGCAGAACGCTTAAAAAAAACAAGAACACGGTACAAAGCCACAACCTTTCACGTCCTGATTCTTCTCGACACGCGAACCAACAACTTGTAAGCATCCGCGCCTGCAACATCCTGACTAGGGTTTAGGGTTTAGGGTTTAGGGTTTAGGGTTTAGGGTTTAGGGTTTAGGGTTTAGGGTTTAGGGTTTAGGGTTTAGGGTTTAGGGTTTAGGGTTTAGGGTTTAGGGTTTAGGGTTTAGGGTTTAGGGTTTAGAGTTTAGGGTTTAGGGTTTCGGGTTTAGGGTTTAGGGGTAAGGGAGGTCAACTTCCCGCGCGACCTCCAAGACCAAGCCTTCGAAGCCTAGTCGTCCAAACCCCCAAACAGGCAAGCACTCAAGCTTTCCGCTTTGAAGCACTGGCCCTACTTATAACCCTAAACCCTGAATCCTAAACCCTATACACCTTAAACCCTAAACCCTAAACCCTAAACCCCTATGGGGTGCTACGGGGGCCCTGCACACCCGCCGGGCGGCTTCACTGGCACCTGGAAGCTGCGCAGCCGCCGGGGCCCCGCCTTTCGTGACCGGAGGTACGTTTACTGCACACGTTTAGGGTTTGGGGTTTAGGGTTCAGGGTTTAGGGTTTAGGGTTTGGGTTTGGGGTTTGGGGTTTAGGGTTTAGGGTTTGGGGTTTAGCGTTTAGGGTTTAGGGTTTAGGGTTTAGGGTTTAGGGTTTAGGGTTTAGGGTTAGGGCTTAGCAAACTCCAAAAGCTGGAACATCCTTATCCCCATACCCAAAAAGTTATACTATAAAGGGAATCCCAGCTCCTACCATCTTTAAACCATGTTCCAACTTTCTGGAGCTTACTTTAGTTTCTTTTTGCTTCAAGTTGTTCAGGTTTGAGGGCCTATAGAGCTTGCACGAATGCTTTAGGCTGTGTCGCTTTCAGGGATTCAAATTCAGGGCCGCGGGGTTTAGAGCTTCTTGGGGTCACAGCTGGCTTTCGGGTGTAAGCGTGCATCATCACACAGAAGGGCCCCACCCAGAGAAAGTGTTGGCATCAACATCTAAGGTTCGGCAAACCGGCGAGTGGGCCCAAACCCGGAGCCTGAACCCAAAGCACCGCCAGCTGAAGCCTACATCCGAACCCTTTTGATTCCAACATTTCCCTACTGCCTCAACATGTACAAAAAAGATGTCCACGAACATAGAAAGTTTCCTGAAGCCCTGTCATCCACACGTTGAGAGTTCTACACTCTACAGACTATGGAAGCCCGTTTGCACGGCCTCAACTTTCTGGAAACCCGAAGCCCCTCCGAAGTAGAGTAGACCCGCCAGGCTCTGATTCCCCAACCCTATTTGGACCAACAAGCCCTCAACCTCTTGAGCCGTGAAACTCCGAAGCAGCTCAAAGCTCTAAGCTGTCTTCAGATGCCCCAAACCCCTTCCAAAAAGCAGCCCTTGGTAGTGCAGAATGCCTCCGCCATCACGGCATGGGCGCCATGTGCCGAGAGCCCAAAAAACCGCTGCCCGCAGAGCAACGCCCTTTGGATCTTGACGAGAAGCCCAGGAACCCCTGAAAGTTCGTGGCTTCGGGGTTAACCCCTCAGGCTCTTTCTAAAGGAAACCTTTGCGAAGCCATTCTTTGAAATTAGGGCTTGGGATTTAGGGCCCAGGTCTTGTATCGGCCTTTTCAGGGCGAAAGTGTGGCACATGGGCCTTAGGATTTAGTGTGTAAGACCCAGCCCCTAAGCCCCAAAAACTCTCAAGCTAAGACCACATACCCAAACCTTACAAGCCAGAGGCCCCACGCCTTCAAAACTTGGATTCCTGGCAAGCTCCATAGAGCCGAAGAGAACAGACCCTAACCTAAACCCTGAACCTGGTACTAAGCCCCAAAAACCCTAGCCCCAATCCGAACTCTGAGTCCTAAGCCCCCCAAACCCTAATCCCTAACCCCTAACCCCTAACCCCTAACCCCTAACCCCTAAACCCTAAACCCTAAACCCTAAACCCTAAACCCTAAACCCTAAACCCTAAACCCTAAACCCTAAACCCTAAACCCTATCCCTGAGCCGATTTTATCTCTCCTTGGAAGGCCCCTCTGAGCGCCTGACATCCTGAGAAGCACCCTCCTGAAAAGAAAACAGCCGTGCGAAGATGCGCAGGCGGTGTAGGACCGGGTTTAGGGTGTAGGGTGTAGGATGCAGGGTGTAGGGTGTAGGGTGTAGGGTTTAGGGTTTAGGGTTAGGGTTTCGGGTTTCGGGTTTCGGGTTTAGGGTTTAGGGTCTAGGGTTTAGGGTTCAGGGTGCAGAGTTTGGAGATCAAAGGCTGTGGTTGACTTCTGGTCCAAAGGCCTGAGGGCTTTCAGGCGCCAGGTAGTCAAAGTTTAGGGTTCGGATCGGACTTATAGGGGTGAAGTCGCGCATGGCAGCCCCAAACGAACCCCCAAGTCTGCCTTCTGTCCACAGCTCTGCGTTGCAACCATACAGCCACGCACCATCGGATCGTTGAAGCGCCATGCTTCACGTGTTGGCTGGTCGGCTTCTCCTCCTCAATGATGCTACTCCCAGGTGTCGGCAGGGAGGCGACTAGCAGGGGCGTGATACACAGGCAACCAGCCAATGGCCCTCGTCATCCTGCATCTGGAATGTGGCTCTTTGGCTCCTGGCTCCAGTGTGGAACGCTGCTTCGTCTGGAACGGAGAAACCCCGAAACCCTGAAACTCTGAACTCTACAGCCCAAGCAATCGCAAGCAATGGGCACCGCCCAGACTCTAAACCAGCAAACCCCTGCAGCCCTAAGCCATCCACCCGAAGGCCCCTACCCTAAGAAGCAGGCTTTCAGCAATTCCTATGGATTCCCCCCCGACCCCCCGGAGGTACTCAAGCTACTAAACTGCGGTGGCTTATAGGGAGTTGGGAAGTTCAGGCTGGAGGCGTCAATTCGCTTCCTAAGGTGTTTTACGTCAAGACCCACTCTGCTAAACACCCTGGGCCGCCGGCAGAGTAGCTGCGTACCATGTTCTCATCCTCCTCCTCCGTGAAGGCCAGCTTCTTCATGATGGTGCCTAAGGAAGCCCATGCGTTGCAGGCTAGGTTTCAGGGCACCTGCACTTCCGGGAATGGAGGTCTGCGGCGGTCCCAAGCTCCCAACCACACCATGGGATTGAACGCAGAACCCGAAAACGCTAAACGCTAAACCCTAAACCCCTAAGCCCTAAACCCTAAACCCTAAGCCCTAAACCCTAAACCCTAAACCCTAAACCCTAAACCCTAAGCCCTACCCTGAACCATTAATTCCTCGAAGCCCTGGAGAGGTCCCTGGGCCTTCCTCCGCAAGGCAGCTCGCAATGGGCTTTTTAATACTGAAATGTTGGCCTCAGGCTACCTGAACAGGGTGGATGACGGTCTGGGCATGCTTTGAGCGTTCAAGAATGACATTTCGGGTTGGCCCACTTGGCCCTCGGAGGACTCCGGAAGTCAGCACATCACATACCTCACAAGTCGTCTAAGCCTGTGGGCTTTCATGGCACCATCAAAGCGGTGGTTTGAAAATGGTTACCGAAGGCCACCTCCTCAGCACCAAAAAAGGAGATTGCTCAACCCTAAACCCTAAACCCTAAGACCTGCAACGTCAGACCCCGAGCCCGAAGCCGATGCGGCCTTCAGGGGATTTTTAGGGGGTGGCGTCATTCATAAGGGTCGTTGTCAAGATTAGGGTCCCTTTTTGAACAGCCTACATATTAGGTGCCGTATGATATTCGGGACCCCAAAAGGGACCATAGTTTTGACAAGCACCCAATAAGGGTTTCAGCTCAGCTCCTCGCTGTCCTAACTTGTGCCTTAAATATGAGCCGTCCAAGTTTGGAGGCGAGGACTTCGGGCAATCTTCTCTCGGAATCGTGAGCTACTGGCAGAACGCTTTACAACACCCACAGCCTACACGCCTGTGTTCATGTCTATACCCCAAGCCCTACAATCCCAGCTCCACAAAACCCTCCCCTGGCGTTCCGGGCCATAATGTTGGCAGCGGGCGATGTAGTTCTCCTCCCGAAGTTCGAGGTGGCCGTCCAACTCAAAACGCCTAAACTGAAAACCCAAAAGCCTCAACAAGCCCAAGAGCTTCTTAAATGAGCCATCGCGCTGCTAGGTTCGGCTAGGTTGACGTCGACCTTGACCGGTTTTCGTAGCTCCAGCGTACTGAGGGAATTTAGAGCTTAAAGGTTTCCGAATTCAAGGTTCGCAGCTTTTGCAGGAGAAAGCCCAAACCTCAAACCCCCCCACTCCCACAAGCCCCGAAAGCCATAGACCCACCTGCGCTTCTGGTGTTTACGGCTCGGGGTTTGGGTTGAGGTCTGGAAGGCTTTGCAGATGCGGTCTCAGGGTTCCCGATGAGCCATCCACACGTATCCCTGAAAAACGGATAAACCCCAAAACCAAGGATTCTGGAGGAAAACGCAAGGCGCCTGCCCAGCCGCCAGGTGGGCATTCACGAAGCAAAAGGATGACCGTCCTTGGGTGCCGATGCAGATGTTGAGGTTGTTGAGGATTCACCGTTCAGGGCTCTGCAACCTTGGGCAAGCTGAGGACGTAGGGCTGCGTTGCTGTAGTTAGCCTGTGCTCAGGGAGAACTTGGCTTCAGCACAGTGAGCAGCGCCCAGTGCAGCCTGGTGGACCCGATCTGTTGACCAAGACTCACTTTGAGGTCCACTTCGTCCGGCCGCGCCCCGCGCCCTCCCTCGAAGAACACTACCCGAAACCCCACTAGTTCAACCCCTCTGCTCTACGCCTTTAAGCCCTACTGAACCGCCTCAAATTCCGGGACCAGGGCTTCCACACGAGTCACCCTTTTCATTATCCAATCGCAGTCTATATTCTTCCTTACCATTTGCCGTTAACTACTCGCTACCTATTACGTACTGCTATGCTATACTCTGTACTGTCTGCTACTTCGTGACTACTTTATCTTCTGTGTTTCTAACGATGCGTGCTCGTTACGACTTCCACAGTTACTGCGAGCTATGGACCCGCCCCCTCCCCCAAAGCTCTGGTTCGGGCAGAGCCAATAGTAGGATTCAGCACATCTTCACGCTAGTCAGAGATGAGTGGGGCAGGGTTAGGAATAAAGATAAGATGATCACCGGGAATGGGGTTACCCGACTTGTAAGACGAGCATACGGGAGAAGATCGATGAGGAAGGAAGATGGAGCTACCGACTACAGAAAGGATGGATAGACAGGGTGTAGGGTGTAGGGTGTAGGGTGTAGGGTTTAGGGTTTAGGGTTTAGGGTTTAGGGTTCAGGGTTCAGGGTTCAGGGTTCAGGGTTCAGGGTTCCGGGTTCAGGGTTTAGGGTTTAGGGTTTAGGGTTTAGGGTTTAGGGTTTAGGGTTTAGGGTCTAGAACTTAACGTTGGAACCCCAGCTGGGCACCCGACCCAGTTCGAAGCGAACCGCCACGGCCCCCTTGTTGCCGCCATACCCTCAACATATCTGGGGTTAGGGTTTGGGTTTAGGGTTTAAAGGTTTAGTGTTTAGTGTTTAGTGTTTAGGGTTTAGGGTTTAGGGTTTAGGGTTTAGGGTTTAGGGTTTAGGGTTTAGGGTTTAGGGTTTAGGGTTTAGGGTTTAGGGTTTAGGGTTTAGGTTTAGGGTTTAGGGATATGGGGGTTTCCGAAATTGGGGCTACCTTATTGGGGTCCCTACTATACGGGAGTCCTACCATTTGGGGGTGTATATTTCGGGTCCCTGATTATCGTACACTCCCATACAGCTGCAACCGGGGTAGGGGCTATAGGAAGTAGAAAAAGGGTTGGTAAGGGCCGGTAGGGGATGCCGGAATACGGGGCTTGCAACTAACTAGGGGATGGTCTTGCTGCGTGGAGGAATCAGTGTGCCGCTTTACTGGCAGTTGAGGCTCGGGCTGAAGCTGGTTTGCAATGCTTGCTTAAGCCGTGAAGAAACTTCGCACGCGAAACCCCACTAGGTAAGCCTGTTGTTTGCTCTTATGCTGGGGGCCAGGTGGCTCGAGTGCCTTCAAGCTCGGGAGGATAGATGTAGAACCTGCCTCTTACAGCTTCTGACCCCAACAAAACCTCAAGAAGTCTTCGGGGGCTTACGATCAATTGTTATCTTGGCAGTCGCGCACAAATTTGCCGCGATGTTGCTTGAAGGCTTCCGAAAGCTCTCGTGCAGCGCAGATCGGTTGAAAATGATGACCGTATCCATAATGTATCAACAATGAGCAGAAAGCTCTTCTTGAGCATCAGAGTCCATTCGCACAAACTTGACTTTGTTGCCATTCGAGGAAGCTTTTGAGCTGTTGTGCAACTAAACGAAAGCAACTTTAACTAACAAAATGGTGCGAGCACTCGACACCGCAGCGCTTCAAAAAGCACTTTGCTTTGGAAAAATCAATGTTTCTCTTCAAAAAGTTGATTTTTTATGGGCTTTTGCAGCTCTTGAGCTGTTGTGCCACGAAACCAATTGCAGCTTTTGCTCGGAAAAAACACCATTTTTCAAAACTCCGGAAAAAGCACAGAACATGGTCCTTCAAAAAATGTGCCTCAAGCCGCGACCAAGACTCTAGATGTTGATCCTGAAATGACTTTTTTAAAGCTGACCAGACGCGCCAAGCAGCAAAACAACATCATCAAGTCAAGATGCACCAAGACGGACCAACAAACAAAACAACCGCAACTTCAAGGATTTAGCAACTATTCCATGATTCACTACCAGAGAAAAATCTAATTCATGATCAGGTTTTGCTGCTACGACAAGCTGAACCTAGGTTTCCATCCGGGCAAAGTGGATCGAGCCTGTTGTGTTGTGACCCAAGACAACCCGAATCTGCTTTTCCACTTCTAGTCTTCGTAAGAATGGGTATGCGGGGTTTGGTTTTTGGGGTTCTCGCATCTTGGAGTTGGGGTGGTTTTCTGGTTGGGTGGTGAGGGATCGAAAGGACCAGGGCTTCCTATGGCTGCCGGACCCGTGGAACGGAAAGGCCAAAACTCCCTCAACCAACACCTTGAATCTTAACTAAGGCCTCAAACTCCCACACTCTTCGAACCCTTAAGGGGCCTCCCACACCAACACCCAGTGCCGCAGTGCGGACGTCGGAAACCTGCTCCAGGAAGCCTGAGTTGACCCATGACGCGTAGGTTTTGCGGCGGCTTAGGACGCTGAAGACGAAAGCGACCCCAAGGCACACCGTTCGGAAGTACCTCAATCCTCGCAAGCCGCTCTCTTCTCCGACCCCAGCAAAGATGCCTGTTCACCATGATCGCCATAACCCTTTCAAACTCACAGGGGCAACCTCACACGGATTCTTGCGGCAGAAGTGGCTGCTGCGGACAAAGACCAAGATCAACCTCGGCGCTTAAATGCTCCTCCCTTTCACCGGCTCCCCCTCGGAGTTAAGGACTTTGCGAAGCGTCATCCTAAGTTGCAGCTTCGATTCAGACCTTCAGCCTTAAGGGCTTGCCCGCATATGTAGCATATCAAAGGCCTCCCTGGCTCCGCATCATGCGGTGGCTTTTTTTAGGGTTTAGGGTTTAGGGTTCAGGGTTTAGGGCTTAGGGTTTAGGGTTTAGGGATTAGGGCTTAGGGTTTAGGGCTTAGGGCTTAGGGCTTAGGGCTTAGGGCTTAGGGTTCCAGATTCCGACACCAGGTGGCCAGCTGTCATGGATGTCATGCTGCAAGGTTTTTTGCCACTGCGGTGTGTAGGGTCAGGGTTCGGAAGCTCAGCCTCTCCTTTCCTCTGAAGCCTCCTCGGAGCGCTTGAGGCACCTTGAGCAACGGCTTCCTACCTCCATTGTTTTGAGAAGAGAGAGAGAGAGAGAGAGAGACAGAGAGATAGAGAGAGAAAGAGAGAGTTTAAGGTTTAGGGTTTTCGGGTGTTAGGGTTTAGGGTTTGGGGTTTAGGGTTTTAGGGTTTAGGGGACTTCCGGAGTCAAGTCCACTCGAAGGGCCCCGGCAGTCCCACGAGGTGTCCCGTCTCCAGGAGCACCAGCTCCTCCTCATAGGCCTCCGCCGGGATTGGGGAAGACACAGGGGGGATCTAGGGTTTAGGGTTCAGGGTTCGGGGTTTAGGGTTTAGGGTTTAGGGTCTAGGGTTTAGGGTTTAGGGTTTAGGGACGCAAGCCTGAAACTGAACCCTGGAATTGCTTCCCGGAGCCGACCATGTTCGACGGGATCAGGAGCTGCTTGAACTGCGAGCACGCCAGCCTAGTAATTGCTTAAGAACCCCCAAAAAATTTAAAAATGTGTATATATATATATATATATATATATATATATATATTTCCTTATAAGGGCAATAGAGGGATAGAGGGATGACTATTTTTGGTTTTTTTGGGGTTCTTTAGCAAATAGTGGAGGCTGCAGCTCCGGATCCCCTTTTTGTTGCTTGACTGGCTCTGCCTCTCACGATCCTCCTGCCGATTCGGAAGCAATATGTTCCAGATGGGCCCTGAACCTTGCAAGTCCCAAAAACTCAGCATCCCGGACTCAAGACCTCGAAATTCAGAAGCCCCAGAAAACGAAATGAACCCTTGACTCAGGTTCACAGTTCTCCCCTCCTGCGGTTGTGCTTCCGCCGGCGCATGCATTAACGCCGCCAGCCATGGTTGCTGGCTTTGGCAAGGAGTTGAAAAGCAAAGGGACGAAGCCTTTAAGCACATCAGGATGTGAGGTGTGCAGACATAGAGGACCATTGAAGTCCCCAAAGAAAGCTTCAAAATTCACGATCCGCAGGCCAGTCCCCTTGTCCTCCCCTCGGGGCTCATTACTTGACGGCACCCTGCTTTGCAGGGTCTGTCGGCTCTCTGCCATATCTACCACTGGGCTTAGTTTAGCGATCTGGTGGAAAGGGCCTAGATTCTAGATGTTAAGGCTCTGATTCTGGGATTTAGATTTTTTGCATGTAGAACTTGGAGATCTTGATGATTCGTGTGGGAGCTTTCTACCTGGGGCAACAACGACGGTGTGCAGGACAAGCGATCTGATCAGGACGAGAGTTTGGGTGCAACGCGTGTGTTTCGGGATTCGGGCTGCACACGCTTTACGATCCTACACTCCTAAACTGCCTAAACTTTTCTGGACCCGAAGCCCAAGAAGCAAAGCGCTAAATTCGACTGTGTTTAAACAATAGACCCTTAAACGCGGCTTTGGGCTGAAACTCTGAGGTTTCAGCCTAGGCTCTGGGTCTCTAAGCGATCAGGGCTCCGGTGTGCTCTCACCGGCCCGCTCGCGGATGTCATCAAAGTTCACCTGGCTGACGACCTTCTTCCTGACAAAGGGTGCTTTAACTGCGGGTGCAAGAATCTTGGACGGCCTGGGGGCTGTAAACCTACAGAACCTACCCCGACCAGACCCCGACCTACTGTACCCCCAAGATGCCTACAATCCAAATCGCCGGCAATAGGGTGCGCTGTGAAGCACTTGACTGCCTTGACCTTCTCGATGTTACTAGACTTCTTGGCCCTCTTAGCCCAGGTCATTAAAGACAGTCGAGGCGGTCGAGGCCGTCAAAGCGGTCAAACATGATCATGACTGTCGAAGTGGTCAAAAGAAGCTGTAGGTTTTCGGGCCTGGGGGGGCCTAGTTTAGGCCTTCTTGAAAGTCAGGCTGGATCTTGCTGACTGTCTTGGTCTAGGTGCAAGATTCTCGAGTTGCCCCAAGGTGTTCTCCACAACTGCTACTCAGAGAAGGCGGTTCAGGATTGAGGGTGTAAAGGCCTACTTTAAGGGTTGGAGGCTTGGGGTGTCTTTGGTGTTCGGTGCTAGACCGGTCCCACGAAGTGGAACATCCTTAAATCTCCGGCAGCACGCTTTCAAGGCCCCTTGAGCCACACAAGTCAAGCCTCAAGCTCTTCCCACCACCTCCCCCCCCTCCCCCGCATCATTTCAAAGCCACCAAAACTTTCAAGCCTTTGCGAGCCAGGCCACTCACGTTTCGACAGGGGGCGTCTGGGGGCCGAGAGGCCTGCGCCACTACAGCAGTTCTGGGGGGCGAAGGTCGGGAGGTCCTAATGGCTGTCTCGGGGTATCGAGCTGGAAAGAAGGTACCGAGGTCTTACGGCATGTGGGCGTTTTGCTGGTTCTCTGGTAGTTTCCAAAGTCGTTGGATGAGATTGTGGGCACTCCTGATGCTGCACCCTTCGCACCCCCAAATCCAAAGATGAATGGGGTGAGAGCCCGGAGAGTTCCATTAGGCCTTTTGAGACTTGACAGTTTTGTGCTGCATTTTCAAAGTCGAAAGCCCATCATGGAGATTGAAGCCTATCCTCGTGCCGAAACCCGCGAACGTTGGGGGTTGTTCAAGGCGAGACTGCTGGAAGCCCCGAAGCTTCTGAGCAATAGAGGGTTAGGACCAAGATTGCGGTTGAGGGTTTAGGCCTTGGGGCTTCGTTGTCGGGTCTTGCGGGTCATCCTTTGTAGAGGTTGGGGCCAAGGAACACAAGGTCGCCTGGCTACTGCAAGATGTCTTTGGGCACAACAGCAGCGTTTACAGGTGTGACCCTGAATCCTCAACCCTCAACTTATGCACTGTGTATACCTTCACTCCGAGACCGAGCCGTCTTCGGCAACAAAGCAGGTAGGTCTCCACTACACATCCGTCGAATGAGCCCAAAACCCCACCGGAGACCAGAGCCTCAAGCCTCTGCGTGCGGCATTTCGGGTTCAGGGTGCGGGATTTTGACGAGCCTGGCGTCCGTGTGGCAAACAAGGCCCCAAAGGGGTCGTCCGCGGACTCCTGCAGCAGCAGAAGCATTGCAAGCCTGCAGGCCTAATCCCGACACCCAGAACGTAATTCATGGGTAGCGCGCAAGGCAGCTAAAGGGGTGGCTTCAGATGCCAGCTTGCTTTGCAAACCACTCTGCGCATGTGCGGCTCGCTGATATATGTGGAATGAGAATGTTTGCAAACAGTGGTGATTAGCAGTTCGGCTGTGGCACTATCATGCACCTTGCTGGGTTGTGGGTTTAGGAGGATGCGCGGGGCCGCTGCTAGGGGCGATTGCGCAGATCCACTTTCCATGGGGCGTAAAATCACGGCTCGTGGGTAGATGGCAGGCACCACAAGAGGTCAAGAGATGCCATGGGTCATAGAGTGGCCATTATGGGGCGCTACGTGCTACAGGCATAATCTTAACCTCCCTGAAAACTGTGCTGCTATCTGAGGGGCTGGGGAGGTAGGGCCCTGAGGTGCTAACGCCCAGCCCTGGGCCTTGACAAACCACCCTCCTAACTCCTAACCCCCAGCCACCCCAACTCCACCTTCGGCGGCTCGAGCGTCTTGGCCAGCCTTGGTACCAGTAACTAACCATCCAGCGCGTAGTAAAGGAGCCTAAACACCCCAAAGCGCCCGCCCTGACGCCCAAAAGCCTCAACCCATTCTCAACCCCTCTCAACCCCGCGGGGCTGAAGCAGGGGGTACAGACAAGGCGTGCTGGCTGAGGGCTCTCAGGGCTCCATGTTGCAAGGGTCTCAAGCCCTACCACCTGTTAATGGGGTCGGGGTTACGGGACGTAGTCCCGTAATCCAGCATATGAAGCCGCAAGGCTCGGAAGTCAGCACCCAGGCAGCAGAGATTTCCAACAAAAACCTTAGACTTTGCTTTCAGTGAATGCAGTGACTTGCACTGGCAAGCAGCAGCTTCGCCAAATTGCGCACGGTGGAGTCCTGGAGCTGCCGGACCCTAGGGCTTTTAAGGGACTCCATAGGGCAGCTCTATCGTGCTGTAGTAAACTGCAATGCCAGGAAAAAGGGGGGTGGGGGAGGGTCTGGGAGGGTGGGGGTGGGGAGTCCGCTAAGCTTAGGGTTTGGGGACTTGACCCTTGTTTGGTTGAACTGAAAGCCATGTGAACTCCCGAGAGAACCCTACAAGCCCGTGGGCTGTTGCCGCCGTAGACTACTTTGCGCACTGCAATTGACAACGCTTCTGCTACTACTGCCTTTTTAAGAAGGAGTCGTTCTGGTAAATAGCTGCGGTGATACCCATGAACCTTCTCAGTCTAGGGCTTAGGGCATGTAGGGCACTTAGGGCACTTAGGGCACTTAGGGCTCTCACCTCCTCTCCCTATACCCTCTGCATCCAAAGCCCGTGTCCTGGTGAGAGGAGAGCCTCTGGGCGGCCTCGCGGCCCCCCAGCTTTACCTGGGATTTTGTTGCTTCTTCATATTTAATTTGTACAAGTGGCTTCGGGGCTACTTTAAGGGGGACTTCAGGAGGCGCCAAGAGGAGAGCTTTGAAGCCGAGAGCTGCGGGGCGTTTCATTCTTCAGGGCATCTTCGGTCTTCGGTCCTAGCCCTTGTGGGCCTCAGAGCCATGGGGATCTCTGCCCTGAGACTGCACTCCTTGGCGGATCTTGAAGCCACAGTTGCTCGGCATCCGCCTTCAACAAACCGTCTGAAAGCGCATCGCTTGCAACCCCTCAACCCTAACCCCTAACCCCCAAACCCTGAACCCTACACCCAAAAGTTCATGTGCGAGGTCCGCTTGGGGGCCATGTCACTACATGGCTCTTGATCGCGGTGTCGATGGACATGTTGTGGAGCAGCCCACAGGTCGCCACTGCCTGGGCTGGGCTTTACGGGGGTACAGTATTAGGGTTTAGGGTTTAGGGTTTAGGATTTAGGGTTTAGGGTTTAGGGTTTAGGGTTTAGGGTTTAGGTTTGAACGATTTGGGGGTTTCCGAAAACAAGCTTTTGGGGGGTCCCTCTGAGGGGATTCTATGCTATTACTTGGGGAGTAAAACGTGCTTCATGCTTTTCAACGGACTTCCTTCGGATATAGTTCTGCCGCAGGCTAGCTTCTCTGCCACCGGCTTGCTCAACATGTGCAGATTACTTTCGGCCAGCCGAGTAAAGGCACAATTTGTTGAACGCACTACAACTCATGCGATTCTGTTACAATCTCGGCGCTAAGTTCATGAGTCAAACCCCTCCGACCCTCAACCGTCTCGGCTGAAGTGGTTTAACGCTCATTTCCGCAGAACCTTTTCAAGCTCCGCAACAACTCGAGCC